CCCACCAACCAACCGACCTTACCCACCCAACCCCCCTACCCAACCCAACACAAAACACAACCTTAACCCCACAACTCTAACCCGAACAACCGACCAAGCCAAACCACCTTACCTCCAACCCAAACCAATCGGCCCAAAAATGCAACCCGACCAACCGACCGACCAAACCCACCCTACCCCCAACCCAACCCCCGACGGACCCTGCCCTACGTTATCCCACGCTACCCTACCCTACCCAACCCACAACCCAGCACCAAACACAGAAACCAACACCAACCCAACCGACCGACCGACCGACCGACCGACCGACCGACCGAGCCAAATCACCCTATCTCGAACCTAACCTTGAAAAAAGACATCGTAAGAAGGGGGGTTCTGTGGCCAGTTGTCTTTTTTGAGAAGGAAAAAAGGAAAACACAGCTCCGACAAAGAACCGTAAGAAATGGCCTTACCACCGGATGAACCCTTGGTGGAGAAAAGGAAGGGTGGATGGCATTCTCCCACTAATATATACCTTGCCGCCCGACTTGTCCAGCACTCGCTTCTGCCCATAAATATGGGCTCGCCCGCCCGCAAAAGCAGCAACCGACGGTTCTCGTTCCTCTGGCGAAGGGAACATACCGAAAGAAAGGCTTTGCGGCCATTGCCAATGTTGGATGCTCTGTGAGACGTTTCAAAATCCCCAAGGCCAATTCATTCAATTCAAGCTGCGCAGTGAGTGTGCACATGTGCACCACACAATAGTACAAATATTGCATTCGCTGAGAGTTCTCTTTATCATCGTCATCTACGGTGGGTGGCTTTCCGGGAGTGGATTTCCAGCGGTTTTTGCCCGAGGCTGGCGTGTGGTCGGGCGAGATCATTTGAAGGGAACGTGCGGAGCGCACTGGTTTGCGTCTGGCGACCCTGCTGCACGCCGTTCGTGTTGGCGATGCGGCTCACAGCAAAGGTGTAATGGAAAAAAAGGATTTTCCAACTCGGAGTAATCTTTGTTTGGCTGTGGTTGGTTTGGCTCACAGCGACAAAGTAGGCCCCCCTCCCCCCCACCTCGTTTTTCTTCACCGCGTTCCCCCCCGTGTCGCTGGAAATTTCCGCGAAAGAAAGCGTTTTCGGCGCGGCGCAATAACACACATCATGCGGTCGTACCTTTTCCGTGTTCCCACTCCGTGCTCTCGGGAGGGGGTGTTTAGGACGTATCTTGTGGGGCTGCGGGGCTGACTTGGGGGCCGGCAATACAGCTCGCCGCACACACACGTCGCGCGCGAGGATGTTCAGGATGCGGGTGGCGACGTTGTGTGTCGTTGGCGTGCTCGCCGCGAGACCGGGCAGATCCGCGGTTGCCACCGTTTGGACGTCGACCAAAATACAGGGAGAGGGACAGCAGCAGCAGCAGCAGCAGGAGAGCAGTAAGCCTACCCTGGATGTCGAAGCGCGAGGTGAAGTTTCTCTGCCGTATAGTGGCGCTGCTGCAGATGGATGCAGATATGTGCGTTGCGTGACAACGTAGTGTACTGCATAGCAGCAGCCGTGCGGTCCGGATATATTCTTCAGTCTATCTACATGTACAACCCGCCCACGGAAAGGACACCGCGCTTTTCCCGAAAGACGTGTCACAGGACCTCAGGGTTTTGCGTGCCAGCCCGTGCCCCGTGCTCCCCGCTAAGCTTTCAGGTAGAACTGCACATACCGCCCAGCAGACACCCCGAAACGCCACACGGTAAACTTATATACGATATGTATCAACACCCTCCGCCGGCGTCCCACCCACGAGCAGCACGGTGCAGGCGAAAACACCAACAACCATGCTCACATACAGATAGATCACGCTTTTTTTCGTCGTTGTTGAAAACATAAACATTACATTTTTTTCGTGGTTTTGGAAGGATAGGTACCGGTATGATACGGTACGCAATCACTACTGGCTGCAGTTCTTCCCGATCTTTTTGCCGTTGACCCGTAGATAGAGAAAAATACGGGGGAGATGTCTTGTGGTATTTGTAACTACAGTCGTGGGCCCGGTTTAGCGGTCCATAGTGTCACGAAATTTTATAACCGCTATTCAGGGCATCGCCGCTAAATCACTTCAGCGGTCATTATCCGCTAAACCAGGAGGCTTAATAGCGGTCATGAACCGCTAAACCGGGAAAAAGCCCATTTGCGTATCATTGCAGCAGTCATACAAGGTGCAGATGAAGAAGTAACGAGCCAATGAAGGACAACGCCGCAAGCACATTCATTAATGATGCATTTTAATTCGCCAAAGCACGAAGATTATTCTCCCTTCTGGACTGTTAGGCCCCTCGTCAAGACTGGAAAATCGTTCGCGTCTCTAACGAAGTGAAGTAGGTGATGAGACAAACTTGTGACAACGCAATGGCAATCAACCACGTGCTTGAGCATCTCATTCGTGCCGTGTGTCGCGTATCGATCATTCTTCACCCAAAGCAATCTCTCTGGTATCTGCCTTCCGCGCTGGAGGAGCGGCGTGCGCTGCGAGGAACGCCATTTTTGCCTCTCGAAATAGTGTGCTGCTTCGCTTACGCCACACGACTCCGCGCTCTCCACGCTGGCCAAAATCCGATGATACCTCCGAGTGTGGTGGCGGCGACATCACCCCCCTGCCCTTCGCTCCGTCAAATTGTGCGGTGGTATCTAGCCCTAGCTCTAGGTCGTCGTGTCGTCGTCGGAGGTTAGGCCCCCCTCCCACATGTACATAAGGCCCCCCCCCATGTACATACCGGACAACTTTCAACAACCTCGTCATTCGCGCCCTTTTACGCAAAGCTTCGGCGATCTCTTCCTGTGTGCACTATTTCTGCGTGCGCTACTTTCTGGTCAAGAAGCTTCAAAACCTCGAGATTCTAGCCAAAGTAGAGCCGCGTGTGGGGCTGTTGTCGTGTAGCTGCAGCGCGAGCTGTTTCTTTCCGCGCGCCTGGTGCTAGAAAGCCACCTTACACCTCTTGGCGCTTGGGCGGATTTGAAAAGTGAGGGGAACTCTGGCCTTCTTGGTTGTAGGCCGGTTGCATCTCGTTCTCATCCGGAACCTCCACCTCCCCACACACATGCCGCGTATGCGGCTACCACAGCAACCTTTACAATCATGCGCGCCGCTTGGACTCGTGCCGCATCTAGAAGCTTGCACAGTTCTCCATCCACGCGCCGCATGGTGTGTGTCTTTATTATTAGCATCGACCGCGCTAACCGGCTGACCAATGAAAAGACGTCGTCGTCAGTCTCAGCGCTGTTGAAAACACAAACACTTCTATATGTCATTAACTGGGACCTCGTGAGGGGGCGGCATGGGGCAGGAAAAAGCTATTCCCCGGAATAAGGGACAGACACGGTAGGTAGCAACAGAGGAAAAACTGCCACCTTGCACTCGAGTTCGTTTTGGAGTGTTTTCACCATCATCCTCGTTGCTTTTACCACCATCACTCTCATCGTCGTTTCTTCAGCTATTTTTCGGCGATTCTTCTCTGGCCCTGCGTCGTTTGGTGTATGTGTGTGTGTCTCGCTGTGTCCTTTTTATTATGAGCATCGACCAGCTAACAGGCTGACCAAGTCGCTGTGCTGTGAGTATGTGCAAGCGAAGCACGCACTACAGGCAGGTCCCCGCAAAAATTGAACCGATAACCGCTATTGGTGGCTGCATACATGTCCAATAACCGCTATTGAGGGCACGACCGGTTCAACGGTTGTATAACCGCTAAACCGGGGTGCAGCCGTGTCACGAGATTTCATAGCCGCTATTCAGGCATCCCGCTAAACAGGGAACCGCTAAACCGGGCCCACGACTGTACATACAACTGCTGTGTTATTGTGATTTTTTTTTTTTTTGTCTTCACTTCAAATCAGCGCTCACATCACTATTTAGTGCCGTTTTACTCCAACCTGTGGTCACACAGAAGAGCCCCTCTCCACCCTCCCCCCCTGCGGTACTTTGCCTTCGATTAAGAGAAGAGTGCAGCACTCTATTCCCTCTGTGTACACACGAACTGTAATTGCGCTATCGTAGGCCAGGAGCGGAAGCGAGAGATAAACTCACTTTGCAAGAAAAGCTCGCTTACGCCGGGATTCGAATCCCTGACCTTACCTATAGAAGGTTTCGAGGACGTCAGACCGGCCTATCACACCTGCTGGCATCACTGGTAACTTTTTTTCAGTGTAAAGTCTAGGCTTTAATAGACTCGACATAAGCCCAGTACAACCCAGCCAGGTTCCCTCTATTTTACTGTAAAGGCACCAACACATCCCGTTTGGCTGTGGATACATCGCGAACGGGTAGTCTTTCTGTGTGTGTATATTGTTTTTCCTAATAATACAACACAGAGAGACGACCCTTGCGCAACCGTGAGCTCTTCAGAGTGGCTGCTTTTGCCCGTTCTCCCGTCCCTGATACTTGTACGAGGGCTGTGTGCGCACAGCAGTCTCTGTGCATGCACAGCAGTCTCGCTGTGCGTAGGTGCATCGTTTAGGGAGCAGTGATTTGTATATTTTCCGTGGGGGGTGCGGCGATTGACGATATACTTTGGTCGCTGCGGCGCCCACGTGCATGCCCACAAGCTGAATGAAGCTGCAGATGTACGCACAAACGCCAATGGGGAGGGGGACGTAATCACAAATCATGTCTTAGCAGGTCGCCTTAAGATACCACATCCCCTTTGGACTTCCTCGGTACAGCACTATCATAGCATGCTGGCTGCCTCTGCCGGCGCAAGTCATGTGAAAGCCCTGAAGCCCTCGTTTTTTGTTCAGATTGTATGTTATCTACAAGTACAATATAATCCTAATGACCTTTTTACTCGTTCGAGATAATATCCCACGCAATATCGAAGGCAAGCACGGCAAGAGGGATGGGTGGGTAGAGGGCCTCAGGGAGAGGAACCCTAACGCTTCTGTGTGGCCACGGACTGGAGCTGCATATGTACTCGGCACAACTGCAGTCAGTGAGCTCCGAATTTTGAAGTGATGCAGAAGAAACAAGAAATCGGTCATCATGTGTAGAAAGAAAATGTATTGTACATTTGAAGGCGCTTGGTGCGGGTCAATAAATGTCTGCTCAGTTGGCGGAGACCTGGATGCTCGCATGGCCCAGTCGTTCCTCTCCTTATGCAAAAGAAGCACTACGAGAGAGTCTAGCATCGGTGACAGCCAGACCCCCACCTCCCACCACCACCACCACCACCACC